CATCAGCAGCAGTGAGTAGTGGCCCCTTAAGGTTGAACAATTGCGCTTGACTCTCTGGTTTAGTACTTGATAGCAAACTGCTTTGTAAAATGTTTTAATAGATGCAGGAATTGTGGTTGCATCCTGTGTACTTTTAAGTTTAAACATTAGAATATTTTGTAGTGTAACATCTCTAAAAATGTATTTAAAGGGGTATATTTGCACCCCGTATGCCTAATTGCCAGTGCGATGCACTTATGTTTGTATTTTTTTTTTTCATTTGTTAGCTTGCTGTTTCCTAGTATATTTCTGTGGTGTACATACTGTATTAAATGGATGCTTTGGTGTTTGTCAAAGGTAATGTTGTTGCTTGTTGTTTTATTATGCTTTTAACATATTGCCTATTTTTTATCATGGGTGATCATGCCAATGGTGCAGGAATGTGGATTCACTTTTGAGTGGGATATTTAATATTAGAGTTGTAGGCAAATTCACAAGAAGCACCACCACTTTATTACAGATGAGTGCATCCAATCCTCTCCCTAGGGAGCTGCAGCCATACTGAAGTGGACTTTTTAGGATCCATTTATTGTTTATTTATACATAAAGGACGCCATTCATAAGGGACTATCTATGGAGTGTGTCATAATATTGTTTCCCTTCCCTTTCCACTTAGTTACCTATACATACATAGCGCCATAATATTGTTTTTTCATTGTATTCTTGTAGTTTGCTTTGATAAAAGCGGTCTGTTACCTACCAAAATGTCAGTCACAGTATACAGCTTTTATTATATTATATTATCATACAGGATTTATATAACGCCAACAGTTTGCGCAGCACTTTACAAAATATATACCACATTATCCTTTAAATTCCTGTGAGTATTGTACCTAAAAGCACACATCGCATCTTTACCTACTGAGCACCAGGGACCTTATGATTTGAGTGTGCAGGGATCACTTGCTGTTTGTGTGTGTGTGTAAAACATATATTCCCTTTACAAAAGACATGTTTTTCTAAAAATATTTTTTTTACTATGCATTGCATATTGTACGGTTATGATAAAAATAATACAATGTTTTTGTATATAGTATTAATAGTACAGTAAAACTAATTTTAAGACTCACTAGTTATAAATGAAAAAAAAATGTATTGTTCAATTTTTTACTTTTTTGTCTTTAAAATGCATAAGTAAAACAGATAATTCCTAAAAAAAAAACAATGCTGTCAATTTAAATCTATATATCCCTATCACTTTGGTATAGTATAAAATAAGACATTTATTGCTAAAGCGATAGCTACTTGAAATGCAAATGCTCTGAAGTAAACAGCCACTGCTCCTGAAGTGGTTAATAAAGGAGACATGTTATACTAGGATAATAGGAGGTTAATAGGAGACATGACTAGCTTGTGCTGAACTCCAGGAAAACAGCTAAACATAAAGGTGAAATACATATATGAGAGCTATTTTACCTGCCTAAAGAGATGTATTTTGTATCTATCCAGTTCTGAGATGTACACAGTTCTGCCACACAGCAAAGCTTTGCCATGCAGGAGTTCTTTCTCTGCTGCAGCTTCAAGTCATTTTCCCAGCTCCACCCTGTAACTGAACAGTAAAAGGCGAAGCAGCACACTAATGAGCTCATCTATCTGTCATGTTGGTTGCCAATTTTATCAGCATGCTCCTTGTGCTGCTTCCAACCCCCACTCCACATCTAAGAGCGTGATAATGAGTCAAATTAAAGTGATTGTAAATTTCAGACATGAAATATGAGCAAAGAATATCCCTCTATAGTGTGTACTTGTCCCAATCTAGAGCCCTCTGTCATTTCTGTCTGCTGCCCAGTTCCTCTGCTATCTGCATGAATTGCTTTTGACTCATAGCACCTAGAGAAAAAAGTTGACAAGGGAGGGAGCTCCAGTGCACAACTTGTGATTGACAGCCTCAACTCTATTCCTGTGTGCTTTATGAAAGGGGGTGTGTGTCCCTTTCCTCCAATCAGCCTCAGAGCTCTCCTCACTGAGCTCTGCAGTGTGTAATTTCAGCTCTCCCCCTTTTTTCTGACTGCTTATACCAGGTATAAATTCTTGAATTTGAACAGACGTAAAGAAGAGAATACTGCAGATAAACTGGTACATTTATGTAGAAGAATTTTTTTTTCATCTCTATGTATGACCTGAAGCCAGTCACTTCACTGGGTATATATAACGGTGTATGATCACTTTAAGGTACTTGCATAAAATAAATAAATAATACATTAATAATGTGTCAAATATTACAGCACTGTCTGTTATATCAGCCTGGGGTTCAGCTTTAAGTGTCCAATCGACTCTAATGTTGGCCACACAAGCTTTGAACAAAATGATTAAATCTGCAAATAATTTCCCTTCTAATTGAATATGGTAAGTCTCACTTTAGATTGGATTCAGTCAAAGTGGGTTGATCAGACAGTGTGGAAAATGACCAATTGTTTTGCATTGATTGACAGATACCTTATCCATGAATATGATCAAATTTTCAACAGATTCATCAGATTATGAGTTTGCATGGCACAAAAAGAAATGCAATTGATAACGTATGATCGTAAGTGACAATTGTACTTAACCATTAATCGAAATCCACGTTCCCATGTGTGGCATATCAATTGAATGGGTTGTTGACTATAGATTGATTATTCGTTCCTATTATTATTCCTATTGGAAGAAATCAATTGCAAAATAAAGCGATCATTTTACAAAGTGTGTATTGCCACCCTAAGGAATTTTAAAATAGAATAAAACTGCTCTGACCTCTATTGAGTTTTTGAATTGCACACAGGCTAGTGTCAAGGCAGGAAAAGTCTGAGCCAATACTTGGAAACACCGTATAATCTGTCAATAGTATGGTTGTGGATGGTATTATCAGAATAAAAGGTTAATATTCTTAATTCTTAATTGTTACCAAAATATTAAACACCTTATTGTTTTATGTGTGGGAGATAGAGGAACCCCCTCAATAAAATGGTTAAAAAAATAAAACATCAGAGGATCCCAAGAGGATGAGGAAGAAAAACCTAGAGTGACCTCATCTGATTGTTCATCAAATCGACCGGCTTTTAATTAAACCTCCCCGTTGTGTCTTTCAAGGTTCTGTCAGGGCTGATGGAGTGGAGCAAAAGATGTGATGCAGAGAAAAGAGAGAGAAGGGAGGGTGTGAAGCAGAGAAGTAGATGTGAAAAGGGGAAGGAACTGTCTGTAGCTTTAATGGATGCAAAGTGTTCTTTGCTGCTGTCTCCCTGGCTCATTTGCTAAGGGTTATTTCAATTTCTAGGCAGCAACTAAAGTGTTTTTAAATGGCTGACACTCATGGGTGCTATGTGTTGTTTTCTACGAGCGTAGGTCAGAAAATACGTCAGCTTCAGAGCTCCCCAGTCCGACTGCTCCAGCTTGGTTAAGAAGTCCTCTTTCACGAGCTCTCAGTCACAGCTGAGTAAATTGTGAATTGATCTGTTGCAGCTAAGATCTTGTAGTTCACAACATCATCACGTCTCTCTCGCTGGCTGCAGTAAAGTGCCATAAGTTATCGGGGGTAAGAAAAAAAAAAAAAAACCTGCTGTGATGAAACTGCGAGCTCTTGGGGTACACTTAAGGAGCAGAGGCAGCGAGGCTAATGTTGAGTAATTGGATTTTGCTGGCCGAACCAGCTTTTAATACTGAAAGATTTTGTCTGGTAGCTGAAAATGGGATTAAACACAGAAAAAATAGAACATGGCAACAGATAACACCCATTTGTCGTACACAGCCTGTCATTTTTCTAGGTGCTTTCAATCCAATTTGATCCTTGTGCTTGTGTTGTTTTCAATATGACCTATTGCATGTCTTGAGCAATGTTCAACTGCCTCTGTCCTCCCCGTTGGCAGACTGCTGTGTGGCCAATAAATAAGGAAGGAAACTGAGCAGGATGAGGGAATTAAAAAATTGTATATCAAAACAGCAAAGTACACAGTAAATAAATGAATTACATCTCATTCAATCAATAAATAACAGATATAAGAACCAACATGTTATTCTCAATCCTCTGATGTATGTATTAATAACTTCATGTTTTGTTGAATAAATTGATAATGTATAACCCCAGCTATATGTCATGCCTCATTTAAAGTCCTATGGGCAAAACAATTGTTTGTATTGTATATGAATTACGTATCATACCTATTGGTGTGTACACATACATAGTCCTATAAAAATGTATAGATATCAAATTTTCCCTATGATCACATGAAAACCAATGTACTTCTAGTAGCAGGCATGCAATATTACAGAAAGCCAACTTAACCAATCATTTTATGTAAAGGAAAAGCAGCAGTGGTACCCATAGGTACCAACCAAATGTTTGCTAAAATATGGCTAGACCCTGCTACCCAGGACATGTGCCACGGGCCTTCTACTGAGTGCCCCGGGTCTCCTTTGTAGTTACTGTTGCCATCATCCCAAGTACAAATCTGAAGACATACATTCTTTCATTTTCATTAAACTAATTATTTGTATTTTGCATATCCATTCTATGTGCAATACACTTTTGGAACTTCCTGTAGCACATAAACTATATTTTAGAACAATTTTTAATACTTGACTTTTATCCTCATTCTTTACATATAAATCACTTAACGCTGAGCTCCAGACAAAAGAAAAAAAAAGATCTACCCTTGCAGTAGGTCCTTCTCCCCACTACAGAGTTTAACCACTTGCCTACAGGGCACTTATACCCCTTCCTGCCCAGGCCAATTTTCAGCTTTCAGCATTGTCACACTTTGAATGACAATTGCGCGGTCATGCAACACTGTACCCATATGACATTTTTATTTAGACAGATAGAGCTTTCTTTTGGTGGTATTTAATCACCTCTGGGTTTTTTTTTTTTGTAAGCAAACCAAAAACAACTGAAAATGTTGAAAAAACCCCGTTTTTTCTTAGTTTTTGCTATAAAATTTTGTAAATAAGTGATTTTTCTCCTTTACTGATGTGCGCTAATGAGGCTGCAGTGATAGGCACTGATAGGCGGCACTGATGTGCACTGATAAGCGGCACTGGCTGGCACTTATAGGTGGCACTGACTGGCACTGATAGGTGGCACTGAAAGGCAGTTCAGATGGGCACTGATATGTAGCATTGATGTGCACTGGTAGGCACTGATATGTGGAATTGATGTGGCACTGATGGGCACTGGCAGGTGGCATTGATGAGCACTGACAGCTGGCATTGATGGGCACTGACAGATGACACTGCTGGGGCTACACTGATCATCAGGGCACACTGATCATCAGTTCCCTGATGATCAGTGTACATGTCCCCTCTGAAGAATGCTGATTACCAGCTCTCCTCTCCTCTCAAGCTGTCAGCGTGACAGCTTGTGAGGAGAGAAATGACGATAACTGGAATTTCCTTATTTACATGTGATCAGCTGTGATTGGACACAGCTGATCACATGACCGAGCCGATGTCTTCGGCTCTTTACATTGATCGGTGATCCGCTGTGTCCGAGGGACACAGCACACCACCAATCACCACCCTGTGTGCCCCTGGAGTGGGAGGACATCATATGATGTCCTCCCAGAACAAGAGAACCACATTGCACCCGTCATTTACTTATATGGCTGGCGGGAGGTGGTTAAAGTTAAAAGATATCCTTATTCTCCAAAAATCATCTATGCACATTTACTTCGTAAAACAGAAATAACCCCCCCCCCAGCCTTTGCAGCCAAGGAAGCTGCCATCTTAGCCTTTGTGTGATCTGCAGTGGCCTTGGTGTTGCACGTGATCAGTTATGACTCAAGCCATTTGGTTTAACAGTTCTGTTGGGAGCACAAGAAGTTATAACAGTTATCATTCACCACATGCCTTGAAGGTAACTGTTTTGGGAAACTGGTAAACTGATGAGTTCAGTTCTGCTTTAATGGCCCTGTAATTCATGTTTTATTAAATGCTTTCATATTGTGTTTTTCTGCCGCATTGTAACATTCTCTGTGAGCTGCTAAACCCCTCAATTTCATTGTTTTTGTTTGAAATGAGCAGGGTAGGTTAGTTGCAGTCACATGCACTCCTGTGTGCAAAGTACATATCCCATAGTCTCTTGGGAGGGAGCAATAGGGAGTGGCTACATTCCTGCGTACAGTGGGACCATGGAGAATGAACATAGCCACGTTCTATAAGGAAGTCAGATCAAAAGAAATTTTTAAATTGGGAGAAAGTTGAGAGCAGTAAAATGTACATTTATGAGTTAAGAATACATACTTTAATATCATACAATTTTTTAGATCAGAGTAGTGTCATCTGTTCAGTTTGCCTAGTAGTTGCTGAATAATACACTACAATTTCTCTCTAAGCTATATAATTAAGATAAAGCAAAAAGTGAGAGGGGGGGGGGGGGGGTGTCCTTTATTTTAAAGCTATGGTAAAACTTCCTACCTGTACCTTGTGTTTTTCATCTGTATAAGACGTGCATTGATCATGTAGTCTCATGGTGTCATTTGTTGCCTTGCAGAGGTGGACTGACCATTTGGAAACTCGGGCACTGCCCGAGGGCCCGGGGTCAGTAGGGGACCCCATGAGATGCCCCCGGTACCTTTTTCATAGGCTTTTTTGAGTTTGGGCAAGGACACAGGGGCCCCATGATCCCCTATTGCCTGGAGGCCCCATGAGTTGTCAGTCCGCCCCTGTTGCCCTGTATGCACAAGCCAAATCAAAGTAAATCCTCACATTCAACAGTTTCTTTTTGTGTTAAAATATGAGGCATTGCCATGATTTTGCACATGTTAATACATGACCTCTGTCTGTAATGTGAGACCTGACACTTCCTGTGAAGGAACTATATATCCCACAATCCCTAGATCTCAGTCTAACACTTGTACATGTGAGAGCTACACCATAATTAGATCTGACACAGGCACAAGCAGGCAGCATTCACAAACACAAAGAGCTCAATCATACAGTCTTTTATCACATTAACACTCCTACATATTTTATTTAACACAGAAGCACTGTCCCATTGCACACAGGGATCTGCTAGCTGAAGCAATATATAGATGAAAATCGATCAGCATACCGCAAACTGCAGTCACAACATGTGGACCCATCATTACAAAGTAAGACAAAAAAAAAAGAAAAAGGGAATATAACTACACTAATATCTAGCTAACACAACAAAAATATTTGAAAGTGTACAATATCTTTAAAATTTTGAAGCTGAAGGGTATTATTCTCTTGAAAAGTATGTTTACAGAACTGTAAGTAGTAATGTTCAATCCTGAACAATGTCATACAAACATACTGTTTTTGGCCACTTTATTTCCCCAGAGCCTTCAATCATAGTAAAACCTTGGAAAAATGTCAGCTTGAATCTGATTAGTGGCAGTGGGGAAATAACAACAGTTCTTAGAGCTCATTAAGGACTCATTCTCTCTGATCATGTTACCCTGTTTTTTTACAACGCAGGGACAAGTCAATATTTTCAAATGGAACACATCCTGTGATGTTAAAAAATCAGACATACTGCAATTTGGATTTGTGCCTTACACAGATCCATTCAAGTCATTTCAATGGCATCCTTTAACAAAGCAGCAGAGTGCATGTGAAAACACAACATGCATTACCATGACACACATTTTCTGCAGTAAAATGTACATTTAACTGAGAGAAATGCATTTAAAAGAGAAATTTCATTCATCATAATGTCACTAGTTTACACCCAGCTCAGCGTGTCTAGTATTTAGCATTTTTATGTGTTAATGCTTGTTTAGCAGTTTAAAACATTCGTATTTTGTCTCTTTTTGTGCTATTTTAGCATGTCTGCACTATGGAAAATCTATGTTCTTGAATGGTTCTCCCTACTTTGCATAGCAATTCAGTATATATACGTATAAACGTATGTTTAAATTGAACATAAACCTATATTATTTGCATAAACGTGATGCTATGCGTCCTTTCTGTTTGCTGTGCCCTAGACGTATACCTATTCTCTATCATTGCTAACACTTCTACATTCTCTAGATGTACATTATAAAACTGTGCACAGGCTACCATGAGGTGATAAAGAATGGACATTTAGACATACATTGGAAAACCTATTTATATGCCCTCAGATGCTTAAAGGTTACTGCTGAGCAGATCCAATGCCACCTTTTTTAGAGTTGCGTATGTTTTTGAGTGCAACTCTTGAAACAAATAGATTTGTTTGAGTTCAGACTGTGACCATGTGTCCTAAGTTTTGTTGAAAGGAAGCCACTAGGTTTCTTAAACAGTTGAGGAAAGAGGAAAGACAGCACTGGACCCGCAGGTACACTCCACTGGTATTGTTATCTTTAGGTATTATTGTTGGTGTAAATGATCTGGTTCCTGGGCAGGCAGCTTCTACACCCCAAAGGATCTCCACTCGGCCTACAATGGTATTTGTTCCAGTGTGAATTAAAATCAAACGCATAATCAGCAGCTTGTTTGCTGGTAAACAAGCTGCTGATTAGGTCTTTGCTTTTAATTCTCACTGAAACAAATACCATTGTAGGTCCAGTTCACTTCTGTTCTGTTCACTTTATTGCCAGTCAAGCCCTGTTGAAGGGGGCACTTGGACCCCCCAAACTCATTGGCTACTTCTCAAATTATACCCCTGACTTTTAATGGAATATAGTTGTACCTGGACCTCTCAACAGAGGTGTGGCACTTCATTTTCAACTCTTCTTACAATATACTAGGTTTCTTAAGACAGGTTGTGTTAATCCAAAGGAAACTGTGGAGCTTTCTGAGATGATAGTCTTGGAGCTACTTGGTGTTGCTGTATATCACAATGATTGGGTTCAAAACAGGACAACAATACCAAAATGTACTGGGTGGGAAAAAGGCAAGTATATATATTTTCCACATTCTGTCAACCTTCTGCCTGAATATGAAAAGCTTTTTTATCCATTTAAATAGAAAGAACCGATCTTCTTCTGAATCACCAGTTTACTGATGTAAAGTGGTGGTTGGTTCCTATTACTAGCTTATATGTAGGGAGGATATTTGAGTTTTGAGGGTTTTTCCCCTTGGAATGTATGAGCTTCAGGCTGAGTTGAAATTAATATTAGAGAATCTTGGAGAATAAACCTGATCTCCATTTACTGCAAAGGCTTAGAAGTGTGTTAGTTGATGACTTTAATGGTCAAGAGTTGGTCATCACAGCTTTTCGACCAGAAGAAAGAAGGATCATGTACCAATGTCTGCTTTTGTACAGGCATAGTGTGATGTCCAGTTGGCCGGTAAGGGGAACATCTACCTTGTTCACTCATATTAGGTTGTAGGCTCTCATAAGAAGTGTGTTCCAGTTGTGATGGCAAGATGGTGATCAAAGCAAAATTAATACAGAAAGGTTGAGTGTGCTAATGTGCTCCCAAAAATGCAGTATCAGTGCTAGTCTTTACCACATAGGATATGAGCTTTACTTTAACCCATGAACAGAGCATAGTTTGCCAAATCAACAACAAACAAACAAACAAACAAACAAACAAACAAACAACAAACAGCTATCAGTTATTTGGTCAATACGGTGATGAACTCTGCCTTAAGTTGGGATATTACATAAATGTGGATTCTTCTACAGAACTAAACATGTCAATTATTTATTTATTTCCAGCAAGGTAACTCATGGCTATCCAGTAGTGTGTGCATTTGTTTACTGGTATCCTTTCAACAGCATCATTCCCTTAGTAATAATGAGAGTTTTCCTCAGTTACAGACCCTTATGCAGCAGTTTACCATTATACTGTTAACAACTAGAGGAGTAATAGGTTTTACCAGAAGCAGGATGGGATCAACCCCAGATCCAGTAAAATCTGAAAACTGTGTAACCTTTATATTACTATACAAAGCCAGCAGAGGAAAAAAGGGACTGTAGTGTAGACATGTTTAAAAGCACTGATATGGTCAGGTATGTGGACCACTACTGTATGATAAAAACCTTGAAAAGGCAAAACTTATAAGCCATATGCTTCTCTGTATATTGTATATTTTTGTGAAAAAATAAACAGTAAAAGGTATGGTAAGAAAAAGCTAAGACCGTATGACTAAAAAAGACCAAACTAAACTGAAACAAATCTAAACTCAAAAGTCAAATTTAAATTAACATCCCTCTGCTTTCTTTTCTTCACTGTACAAAAGACTTTATTAACATTATTTTTATTTTCTGGCACTTGAATGTGTCTCAGTCCTCAGCGATCTTCAGAATGTTAAAATAATAAGAACTTAATCTAGTATGCGGTCACATTTGTATCCTAAACTAAGCATTCCCACTATCATATTTACTGTGCACCATTTAGTTCTATGTGTCACTGAGCAGTACTAAATTTTTTCACCCCATTCACATAGACATATCTCATTTCTAGTTCTCCATCTAAAAGCCACTTCTTTGTTATTTCTTTAGTGCTTTTAACTTAATGCTCTAGAATTTCACAGCTCATGCAAACAGACACGGTTATGTTGGACGGGTTATAAAAAGCAGCCATGGCATTAAACATGTCAAATAAGTAA